TAGTAGCTTAGAGATCCGCCCCTGTGGAGAGAGGAGTGCGAGAGGAAGTTGAGAGAAGGAAATTGAAAACAGGTTATTCAGCCCAGCAGGAGACGATTCTGTAGGTCGGTTTTTAAGAAAAAAAATCTCACGCCCCTAGATATAGTAGGATTGTCGTACAGCAGACTGACACAAAAAACAAACAAAAAAACTGACAAGTAACATTTCCACGCAACAATATTTAGTCCAAAAGAAAACAAATTAGAGCGAAAAATGCGAACAGCGCTATGTCTGGAGCAAAATTGAATTGTCAACATAATGTCATAATTTAGAAAGCATGTAGCTTGATGCGTGAGAATGGGGCTCGCAGCCTAGGGATGCTTGCTGTCCGCGTGTTTGAGACATTTGATATAAACTATTCTCTCGAAACACCGACGGGAACGCTAATAATCACTCGAAATATTGGAAGCGGGGCTGAGACATATAACCCCCAAGTTTATGCAAAAAGTTAAAAGTATATTAAAAAAAAAAAAACTCTGTGTCGCAGGGAAGGAAAAAAAACCTCCCTAATATATGGGATATGGAATAAAGCTGTCTTTCTGGCACAGTTTGTGTAGCACCCCCGTATAGGGAGTATTCATTGCCGGCCATATCTGTTTGCGCGAATGCTGAGCGCGTGCTGACGGTAAGCTTCCTCAGTTCTTTTGCAACGTGCATTCCGCACCATCGAGAGTACCGGTCTTAGCAGCCTATTGATGTGAGCTCGTTTGGAGCATGCGCTCTAAACAGCACCCACAAATATGGCGTTCAGTGAATACTCCCTATATCATATAATGGCCTTTTTTAGGGGCGAAGCTCCTTAGGGGCTAGCCATGCTTGTATGTCAGTCCGCCGTCCGGCGTGCCCCTGCTCGTGAGTTCAGCAGCGAGAGCAAGAAAGCAAAAATGAAAAAAAAATACGTCCGGCGTGCCCCTGCTCGTGAGCTCACGAGCAGGAGCTCACGAGCTCCTGCTCGTGAGTTCAGCAGCGAGAGCAAGAAAGCAAAAATGAAAAAAAAAAGTCCGGCGTGCCCCTGCTCGTGAGCTCACGAGCAGGAGCTTACGAGCTCCTGCTCGCGAGTTCAGCAGCGAGAGCAAAAAAAAAAAAGAGAAAAAAAAGACGAAAAAAAAATAAAAGAAAAGAAAAAGAAGAAAAAAATAGGGGGGATCCGAGATTCCACCCCATCTGTCTTCTTAGAAATATTAAAAGAAGAAAACCACAGATTCCTGTATTGACATGGATGAAAACGGCACCATCAGCACTACGTATGACCAAAATCAGTACCAAGGAAAAGAAGAAAAAAAAAAGAGTAGGGGATTCTGAGTTGCCATCCCATCTGTCTTCTTAAAAAAAGAAAAAGAAGAAAACCACTCATTCTCCTACTGACATGAATGAAAACGGCACCATCAGGACTACCTATGACCAAACTCAGTACCATCAGCACCACCCGAGCTTCGCCCCAATCAACATCATTCACCACGTGGAGATGCGGTAATTTTGTGTACCGCGATTAGTATTATAAATACCTCAGCCAAAATGTTTATTTTTTATTTTAATTGAAGCTGAAACTGTAGTATCGGAGGCCTTGTTAACACTGGTAATCAGCAGCGGCAGTATACGTTTGATGCCACTAAATGTACCACTGCAAAAGTAAAAAAAAAACAAAAAAAAACGAGGTTGTTTGACTTTTGTTGATGATTACAGCTAAAAATCTGCTCCAGCCTTCAACAGAGATGCCATCAAACGAGCTGCGCAAAAGGACCTATATATGCCCAGTAGGGTTAAAGTAGCTTTTGGGCTGACGGTATATGTTCAGCAGTTTATCTTGGGATTCGTGATCCGGGAAAATTTTAATAACGGAAAGTCTAAACGCTATAGTCTGGCTTAGCGCTGAGTGCGTTGTCTCGCCCATTATGTATTTGTGATTTGCACTCTGAAACATTCGAGCGTGTACACTTTGAGCGGCACGTTGATCGTGTATCCTTCTGAGCGAGCATTTTTCTTTTGTTATGCATCATTCGTTTTTTTACATAAAAACTTTCATAAACACTATTATACTCAATAAACGAACAAATGAAGGAGGAAAATAACAAAGAAAGCATGAGGGACATCCTCTATAGGTATCAGTCAGTATCTCTAAAGATGACCTTGGCCGTGTCTTTGTGGTTCTGTAATTCGTTTCAAGTTTCCAAGACAATAATTATTAGCAGCTCAGATACACTTTTATCATTCGTCTGGTGTTTGTATTTTCTAGGTCTTTGACGTCATCATTGCGCATCACCATTGTTATCTTCGACGGCTTATGTTTCCCGACCGGGCAGCGCGGGCATATTTTAAAATGAACATAGTTTAACATTGTCGTCGAATTCCTGTCTTCCTCACATTATTCCGTAAAGGTCTCGTTTAGTTTCTACGTTCTCCAAGAGAAGTGTATTGCACTCTGGAGCATCGCACCGACGACTACGACATACGGTATATTCCAATGGCCGATCCTCTAACGGGCGCCCCTGCCGCTGCATTCAGCCAAGGTCTCAGTCATATTCGACATCCCAAGACAACATATCTGGATTCAGCGAAGACGATGTGGAATATTGACTGGACGTTTAGGACCGGGTAAGCCTATATAACAAGTGTGATGAACGAGCTAATCACCAGAATGCAATATTTTATCTTTCCCGTGAGGCTAAGATGTGTTCCAGCAGCGAACATGAGATCGCTACATGGAGACTGCTGTATGCATCAAGAGGTTGCTAAAAGAACGCTCGGCAAGTACTACACCCATATCAGATATGCTCGTTGCCGATTAAGTGTGGGTTTTAACTCCCCCTCACGATAAACTGCCCGAGCTGAAGGGCTTGTCTACAAATATATTGGGGCTTACCACATCATCGAACTAGCGTCCGTCGTTTCCCACCTCGCAGCACCCGAGTCTTCATCCAATGATGGCTACCGCCGCACTACAGAGGCATTGTTAACCGCTTAAACATTTAACTATCGGTCGCTGCCTCGATAAATTACTTTCGCTAAATTACTAACAATACAACTGCAAATCCCCTTTTCCCCCGGCGGGGAAGAGGGAGGATTGAATTGTGATGAAGTCCTTAAATACACTATTAGAATAATGCAATCTAAATTCCTGATTTGTATTATATAGGTAGCGTACAGCACCAAATCCTCCACCCAGCGGTGTTGACAGCCCACGTCCGAGGGAACGCATGAGCATCGCGCTGTCCGCGGTTTTGTGCTTTCGTGCTGCGCCGAAAGAGTGGTCAGCCCCGACGCGACGAGACACCGTATTCACCAAGACAGCAGAGACGGCTGACTCCGCTACCTCGAAGGCTGTTCAGGAGAGTAGATATATCTGCAGCTATCATTCTCAACGGAAAATACGCAGTTACTCTATACTTAATTGTTTCTGCTAAAGTTCAGACGCACGCCGACATAAGGAGCTAATGGGGCTAAGCAAGAAGCGTCAAAAGCGCAAGTCACTGGACTTTTTTTGTTTATAACTGGCTTAACAATGATATAACGCGTACACAATTTTTACAAAACACCATGATGGTTCGCTCTTGACGATCTTTGATTAGTCCTATCAGCTCGTAGCGTCGTCTGCGTCTGAACTAAAAGTAAAAAGAAGTTAAACATTTTCAGCGCATATCACCTAGGCGGAAATGATGGGTCATTGGGCTGTGGGCGCATGCGCGGTGTCAAACATTTTGTAGGCGAGAGCTACTGCACATGCTCAAAACGCCTTCCACAACCCAGTAGACAAATATGGCAGCGTCCAGAGGGCGATTATGGAAAAGGTCTGTACTCGAAATTGGAAGAGCGAAACCTCACGGCATGTGCGTTCAGTGGTTCCAACTACGCTAAAGCTGTCTACCCCCAGGCCATTGAATTTTCGAGGGGTAAGATGTATTTTCTAATAAATTAATGGAGGTCTTCATTGACATAAGCCGCATTACCATCATTGTATCCGATGGCTCACCTAGACGTAAGGGGCAGCGCGGGTCAGTTCGCACTTAAACAACGTTGAGAATCGCCGAATCTCTCTCTTCCTCGCTATATATTAATTATAGGGCTAAGCTGTCTTAACAAGATATACTTTTCAAAGAGTAAGAATATAAATATTTGAGACGATACACTTCGGAAAAATGAATATTACAATAAAAGTAGGCTACATGCAAAGAGCATTTTTACTGCCAGCAACATTTTATTAAAAACGCTCTCTGGGAAGCAGCGAAAGACTTCCAAGAGGACTAGGAGAACTTCTTAGAGGGGATTACGAAGCACCTTTCATACTTTTTCTACGCGAACGAAATTGTAAAATATAGTACCTAATTTACGCACATCTTAGGTTATAGTCGCACATTCCATGTTTCTTCAAGTTAAGAAAAAAGTCAAAAACTGCTCCTTCGACCAAAGTCTCATACGAGGTCATTAAATACATAAGACTGAGGAACTTCCATGATTGTGTTCGGATGTATTTATAGATCGCCCCAGGTGATGCAGTTTTATAAAATACCCAGGTTAGGCACACAAAAAAGCAGAAAAAGCAGAATGTTGAAAACCGCATGTATTTTCCGCGTAAGATATACCTGTGTGAAAGAATTAAAACAAAAAAAGACACGTCAAAATGCAGGTAGGGTACTGGCGAACCTACACTACAAGTTCCCGATGATACCCGTGATTTCAAAACATGCTGTGAGTAAAGATTCAATACAAGTTAGTAGTTAGGTAACGGTTAACACATATGCATACCGTATGCGGCGGCCTTATCGTCTTAATGCAATAGTAGTTCGCAATTAATTATTTTGTATACAAAGGCATCTGGATTTTGAAATGGCACTGCACTCGGTAAACGCAAAATTCCTTAACCGCTTATTTTTACTGATTAAATAATAAAATTGGTAGGTTTAAACTCGTTTGAACAGCACAGCGGAGAGTATAAAAGCCTTCTGGTTGGATACCGCTCCGCTAAATTCGCTTGACTATTCCAGCAAGAGGACCTTGCAAGCTAGTGCTATGTTCTCAAAGGTGAATCGAACTAAGCATTACCTGTCGTCTCACGCAAAGTTGGATAATCAACATGATTCGTAATGCTCCTCGGGGAAACGCAATCTGACATATCTATTTCTAATTTCAGGTGATTTTGTTCTGCTTTTGCGCCTACGTGGTTTCTCAAGATGCCGCGGAATATGTGAGTATGACAAATTCAGAGGCAAATCTGTCAGATAATATTGTATACCGAAACCTTTCTCATTGGCTCGCTTTCTTTCTGGTATTCTATAGCATTCTATAATATTTAAGCAGCGATAGCACCTATAAAAACGTTTTGAATTATAATAGTGTGAATCATGATAGTTAATAATATCAATCATTATGTTATTAACAAGGTCTTAATAATAATCATAACACGTAAGAGAGAGTGGTCATTGTCTAATTACTGTTATTAATGCGTTTTTATTCGGCTCATTAAATAAGATTTGGACTTGATATAATGCAAAAACCGTTGCAATAATAAAACAATAGTTAAAATCTGAACTAAAGTTTCTTTATTTTAGTAATACGAGCAAGGGAGACATAAACACGGTTTTGGAATTGGTAGACTAGCCATAAAGAATTTATTACTATATCACCCGCTTGGAAAAGACTCGTGAGCAGAGGCCGTTCATGGCTAGGTATATATCGCACCAATAACGCCGAGCAAAACGATTCTGAATGACGCGAGCCGGCAGAAATATAGCGAGTTGTCGCTCTGGTTGTTTAGGAGGACCTGAGAATCGATGATAAGAACTGCTATAAACAATTTCTTCAATGTGACGACTGGAAACTTTCTTCAAAGCAATCAGCAGAACTATATCATGTTGCTGTTGTACTTAGTGACTGTCTTTCTTTAGATTGCATTTAGTGTTTTATTTCACTAAGATGTAACTGTAAAGCCTATTAAAGTAGTGTAGACCTGAAAGTCTTGACCTGCAAATAACTATAACGGAGGAGAAAAATCCTTTGCCTTCATGTTACTTAGAAAACAATGTTCCTTTGCAAAATGAAAGCGAACAGCAATATCCTCGCATTTTCATTACATAAAGTTCCACATGGATCGAACATAGTAACCACGTTGTTACTAAGTTGTTAGAAATTGTCTGTTTGTTATAAAAATATCTATTCAACTACATGCCAAGTTTGGCCTATAGTTGGGCCAATATTTAAATATCTAGACGTGGTATTGAATAAAAAATTAAAACAACCTTCCTAAAAAAACTTTCCAGAACCAGAGTCCAGCGATAGGAATCAGGCGGTGTAACAGGCTGACCGCTAGTACTTATCTGGACAATAATTCGAATGTCTATAGCTGGAGAGAAAAATATCAAGAAAAGTCGGCCATCTTTAAATTTTGTTTGACATTGTCCATGATAACATCCAACTTGAATGAATAAATTACGTGCTATGTAGTACAACCAGGAATACGCGATACAAAGAGGCCCCAACATAAGAGTACACAGACTAAAGGTGGTTTTTTATTTTCCTTTCTTTGTCGCATAATTCGTAAAAGACATTGAAAACGGAGAAACATCATCCCAGGTTATTAACTTCTGCTTTTGTCACATCAGTCAGAAAACATATTGTACACTAGAGTAGCGTGCTACAATTGTGTATTGTTTACTATTTGTTGCATTGATTTCGTAGCAAACCATTTCTTATACCTTACAATTTGTGTTATCTTTCTTTAGTCGGTTTTTGTAGTTGTGAAAATTTGCTTGCTACTTGTTTGCAAGCATAAGCTATATTCGCTGAAGCGGCCGGCATTGACCTTTGTCTCGGCCGCCGTACATGCCGCTGTAAAATTTTACATAAAAAAAATCAACAAAAATATTGTTTCTCTCGTTCATGCGCTTAAACAGTTTAAATTATGTTTTGTTAGTGGTAAAACCAATTTATGCCATCTGTGCCAACGTTCTCAAAAAATTATCTTTACCTCCTGCGTGTGTGTCGTTTGTGTACTGAACCTCTACACAGAAAAAGTGGCGTATGCCGAGAACGCAGTTCTGCTTAGAAAAGTGAAATACCGATGGGGAGCCCTTTTCATCTCCGCAGCGTATCCGCTGACAGCGTATGAAACACGGCGTTGGGCGACTCCCGAGCATCCTATTATCAGTCCAAGAACTGTGAACATAATAGGCCCCACCCTGTGCTTCTTATGTTATCATTGACTATAGCCGGTAGAAGCGTGTCCCGCACAAGGTTTTTGTCACTTCTATTCGCATCATTGTAGGTAAGGGCGCTCCGTCTGCACCCGGTTTGGGAACCGGGCGACTAAACTAATTAAACATATCTCATGGGTTGTGATAACCGTTTTGCGAGTTTTGATTATTGGTTTAATTTAAAATATTGATTGACTTTAAAGCTTTCATTGCAACGTGATCCATAAAGCATTAACAAAGGAGTGAGTGGTGTTTCCCCAAATAACATCAGTCGAAAACAATACCTATGCATTGAAAAAGCTAGCCATTTAAGATTCCCTTGAGAAAAAGATGAAAGATATCTGCTGGAGTTAAAAGTGAGCAACATTCATATTCCAATATATGACATACGTAATATTCGCTTATGGAAATCACCGTGCTTAATTTTAATGCATAACCCTAATAAGCTGCTCATCACAAATTTTTGGGTATCTGACCTCTAATGTTCCACGCTAAATTTAGCGAAACATTTACGTCATGGGACCTATGCGAAAATTCAGTTTCCCCACTAAATTTGGCTGAAGATTGATATCACGTGACCTGACGCTACGTGACCTATGCACCAATTCAGGGTTCCGAGCAAAAATTTATTAAAAAAAATGACGTCACCTCACGACCTATGCTCTTATTCAGTTTCTCCGCTAAATTTGGCGGAACAATTAATGTGAGGTGACCTGCGTCACGGGGCCTAAAGAGAAATTCAGGTTCCCATCTGAATTTAGCGGGGAAGTTTAATTTAGCCGGCCTCGTAACGAAAGGAGGCAAAAATGGCGAATGCTATCGGGATTCATAGACAACCAACAATAGTGGTTTCTGCGGTTTGCTATACTTATTAATATAGACAATATTCAAGTCTCACAAATAACACGGAATCAATGTTCTTAACCTGCGGCTATGCCAGTCTAAACCTACCAGTCTCACTCGTAATGCACTACCAGTCTCACTCATAATGTTTTCCCTCTGCCTTTTATGCAATTTCAACAACTTTTGTGTCAACACCATCAATGCAGCCCCCGCAGCCATACAGCTTCGCCTACGACAGCACCGACGAATTTGGCACCCGACTGGCCCAAGAAGAGACCGGCGACGTGAACAACAAGGTTGGTTCATACAGCTACACCGACGCCGCCGGCGTCTTCCGAACCGTGAAGTACGTCGCCGACGGCGAAGGCTTCCGCGCCACCATCGAGACCAACGAGCCAGGCACCAAGAGCTCCAATCCCGCTGACGCACCCGTTGTGTCATCCGCTGTTGAGGGTCCGCATCCTGTTGCCGTCAAGACCGCCCCAGCAGTCGTGAAGGCCGTTCGCCCAGCTGCTGCCGTTGTAGGTGTCCTCCGTCCTGCCTCAGTGGCGGTTCAAGCAGTACAAGCTGCGCCTCTGGTTGTCAAGGCCTTCCAGCCTTCCCCACTCACCGTGCAGGCGGTTCACGCTGCGCCCGTGGCTGTGCACGCTGTACCCTCCAGCCCCGTTGTTCAGGCCTTCCAGGCTGCTCCTGTTGCGTATGCCGTGGGCCATGCTCCAATCGCCTATACTCTTGGTCAGGCCAAAAAGGCATGACGAGGTGACACTTACAAATAAATAGTGACCATAAATCTTGTATTTGTTCTGATTTTTTTTTTTTAATTGCTTGCCTTTGTTTTCGGACATCCATGGGCATGCAATTCCTCACTTGAGTGAGAGATGCCGCCATTCTGAAATATGTAATTCGTCTCTCAGATAACTTGTGGATCACAGAAAATGTCAACCCTTTTTACCAGGAACCTGCGCCTTGCTCTAATGCTCTCCTTGAGAAGCACAAAATATTTCAGTATTGCATTTTCCTCGTTTTTCCGTTCACCTATGAAAAGGAGCACGTCGCGCCAGGTCCACTTAAAATAGCACCTGGTGATAGAAGAAGTACATCGATTGCAACTTTGTCTCTTCAGAAGTCACTTTTTGTTTTGTTTTATAATCTACCATAATAAATATATATTTCTAGAAAATCCCACAATGCCTTTCGTCGATCACATATTGTGCTGTGTCGCACTGGTAAGTGTGGGGCCGTTGCAGTGTAAGCTCGGGCCGGCTCATGCGCTCCATTCATCCTTGACGGAGCGCAGTTCCTTAATCTCTTTTACCAGTCCAAGTTCAGAACAGAAAATAAGAACAAATCGAATACATCACAATGCCGATATGTGCCCTGTGTTCCCATCATCCTGCGTATCTGCCAGGTAACGTGCAAGGTGCAATGCGAGGTAACCATAAAAGAGTTGATTAACTCCAAAGCGGCGTGTTTTTCTTTACGTGCTCAAAACAATATATGCACCAGTACACCTCCTAAACAAGACACACGATTACTTTTCGCCCTTACGATTCTACCGTTGGGTGCGTCTTGTGGAGTCAGATCAAAATAGCTTTAGTTTTATGTGTAAAGACACAACGGAATGCCAAGCTTTCTAGTTTTTATATTTTGTTTTTCTAACGGCGTTCTACCATGCCACAATTGTCGCATCTACCGTAAAAAAAGCAAAATGTACTTATAGCGGTGTTACTTCAAACTGGTCTTAAAATATTATTGACATCATTATTTGTGACGGTCTACATTGGGAAGTGAGTAAAATGAGCTTTAAAATGTTTATTTTTCTATTTCTAAAGAGACGAGAACGGCGGCTCGTATTCACAATATTTGAGATTGAAATTTCCCTCCGAAAGCAATTGACAAAAAGACGGCGGCAACATCCGAGAAGGGATAAAAACAGAGGCGAGCTGGTCAAGAACTTCCATAGTAACCGGAGACACGGCACAATAAATGAAGGGAATAAAAAACTAGTCTCAACCACAGCTTCTATAATTCGTTGCAACGCATCGAGGTAGGGCGAGGGAAAGGAAGGCCGGGGGATAAGGAAGCTGCTGAGACGCTGGAAAGAGGAAAAGGTTTCCCCTCCTCCTCCTCTCCAGCGTTCCATCCGGTCTCCTGCTCCACTGCCTTCCTTTCCCTCGCCCGACTTTCTTGAGTTGCAACAGACTATAGTATATTTAAACAGCGAATACTCTTATATATACGTAAAAACACACACAAAAAAACTAATTTCCGTTAGATCACTGAAAGCCGGACACTCACACAGGTTCGAATTATTCATCCTTTCACACCGACCAACCACCCTAATGACATCGGTTGGAGGCTGACCACCCTTAGCGAAAAACCGGGGCTCTTAGAGTATACTTTATTTGCACTTCCAGAAGTATGCTTGATGCTCTAAATTGGCCGGTTTTTAGTATACTTCTGACGCACTTCAAAGTAGCATTTCGCCATACTTTTAGTATACTTCTAAGCATACCTGTAAGAGGCATTTTAGTATACTTCTTACGCACTTCAAAAGTAACATTTCGCTATACTTTTAGGATACTTCTAAGCATGCCTGTAAGAGGCATTTTAGTACACTTCTTACGCACTTCAGAAGTAACATTTCGCCATCCTTTTAGGATACTTCTAGTACACTTCTGAGGAGAATTTTAGTATGCTTTTATGCAGGCCTTTAGTACTATAAATTGTACCCCGGATTAAACTTGGAAGCAGGCTTTCAAATATAATCGGGGGTACACTTAATAGAACTTTTAAAGCATTTCACCAATTTATTCCTGACCAATTCCAGATAAGAAAAGTAGAAAATTATATTGATTTAGCAATTGCAGTGGTTTGCACTTATCGAAACTGAAATGCATTATGTTACAGGCTTTAATGTAGACGAGTTCAAAGTGATGACAAATTAAAATAAGAACTTTTTATTAAACAAATATTTTTTTCAATAGAATGAACACATGTTGCCTACAACAAACACTTACGATGGAACAAAAAACGTAATACTTTTAGTGGCTTACAAACATCACAGATGCACTTAAAGCTTTATAAACAAGCTCTTATTAGAAAATATAATTACAAACTATCATGCTGAAGAAAAACGAGCAAAAATAGTATTGCACCTGTTAATATAAAACCTACAATATTTATCATCTACCATGACTGAAGGAACATCACCTACATGACTGAAGTAAAATGAATGAAAAAAGTTAATGCACTTGTTAAATAAAATCTAAATTAATCGCTAATCAGATTTAAGAGAAAAAAAAAGCCAATGCGCAAAATGAATGAAAATGAAAGCTAATTTTTTTTTTTTCATTCTGCAGTTTTCTTCTGTTTGTTGGAGGCTTTGTTTTGAGTGTAGGAAGCATTGCAGCACTTCCTTTACAGGTATTCTTTCACGGACTTCCGAGTTTCTCCAGGGAATTGGCAGTAACAAAAGCTGAAAAGAGAAGACAATAGACAATTAAGGAACTTGCCTTAAGACTCCATATTTACTTAATACTACATAAAATTATACTTCAGGTCCACATAATTTTAGAAAATTTCACAAAAAGAAACCAACAACAAAAAGTTAATCATCTAAATATATTGAGCACGGGGACCAATGACTATGTTTATTGGCAACTGTGAAATATTGCTGCTGTGAAATAATGTAAAACAAGGCATTTCGTCAATTTGCAATGCATTAAAGGGATCATGAAACAAGTTTACTGTGGAAACAGTCTGGAGCTCGTTACTTTTATTTCTTTTACCTTATCACAAGTATGAGAAAACACACCGTGATCCCTCAAAATGTCGCGAGTGCACTGCGTAATCAGAAAGGAAAAAAGGGTCCATTTTTCATCATGCAGCTTATGGTGGCCACAGGAACTACTGGCTTGGCGCCAATAGTGGTCGAGTTTGCGGGTTGAGCAGGTATCTGCCCAATTTGAAGCTAAGGTTTTTATAAAAGTTGTCATTCACTCATTTGGCCCCCAATTCATGTCACACGCACGTGACCTGGAAAGGACTCTAAAGGTTGAGGGGCCCCCCAAGCTTAAGTCTATTTAATTTTTTTAATAAAACTAGTGCACCTTGGAAAAAATTGTTTTCTGATCTTCACTGCACATGCGATGGTGAGATACTGCCACACTTACTTGGCCGAAGTCTGAAGACTATTTCATAACCCCTTTAAAAGCCTGCAAACATAACATTCTTTGTGACAGGGACTCTCAAACTTTCTGACATCAGCGAACAAAAATTTACTAATGTTATTGTTAGCCGAGGAGCCCCTTCCACTCTTGGCATTGTTGCAATTGAGTGTATGACAATGGTGTAGGAACAATTGAGGAAGTTCAGGTGCTGAAAGAACCCTCAGTATACTGTACTAGGAACCCTGTTCGAGAACCAGTGCCTCAGGATATTTGGCTAGAACGTCGGAGATAGCGTAGCTAGACAATAATTTTAAACACACAGATGACCACATTTTTTTTAATTTTGATTCTGACATCTATTTTATATTATAATTCAGGGTTTACTGATATAAAACCAACTGAGGCCATACTGTACCAAACAATTACTTTAAAAACAACTGAACAAGCTGAAAGTTTTTGAAAGATTCAGCAGCCTAAAGCTGGGGTAAACAGTCAGCTATCTTCAGAAAATTGTACACAAAAGTAAACAATACTGAAGTTTCGTTAAGTTTAATCGCTGATATAAATCGACGATCAAAATTAAGCAGAAGGAACATCAGAGTGAATTATAATCTAGGCAAAAATTAAAGTATGCTAGAACTGGGGCACATTATTGCAAACCAGAGGTGTAGCGCAAGACGTAATGACACAAAAAGACAAATACCTCCCCCAACATAAGCCAAAAAGAAACAACCATCCATGAGTACCGAGACACAAGTCCAATGGTGACCAGACAAAAGCTCACCGGACAGAAGCTCACCCGTTTTTTTCGTAGACCCACACAATTGCTCACCCCCTTTTTTTGGCTACCCGGTGAGTCACGAGCTGGGCCAAAGTGCGGACGCAATGGACATTGCACTATTTTTAGAAGAAGTGGTACCCCATCTCATGCAACGGTGTCGACAGGTAAGCCATAACAGGCACAGAAGCAACGATTTGGGACAAAAATTTAGGTCACCAAAATGAGTGGAGCTGAAGCTGATAAGATCAATCTGGGTTGACTCAAGGTATGCCACAACCGTCTGGAAAATATTTGCAAGGGTTTCCAGGTGCACCGAGATCTACCAAGACTGCTGGAAACAGCCTGTACGGGACTGCATTTCCTTCTAACCAATCGATAAACTTGTTTCCAGTCTAATCAACAAACCATGTGCCTATCAGATTTAATTCATTGTTGTGTTTTAGTGTCGCACACATGCACCTAAGTTGTCTGCACTCGTGTTAAGACCAACATTAAATTTTCACGTGGTGAGCTTTTGACCGGTGAACTTCTGTCTGGTGAGCTTTTGTCCAAGATTTAAGTCCAATATATGTCAAGAGTAAACTTAGTATTTGTTCCTGTTAAGTTTGATTGCAATAGTGCCTTGCCATTTCCTCTTTACGGCAATTTACGCACCTATCAAGTCCTTAACTCCCTTTTTAGGAAGCTTTCCCTTCATTGCCGACCCCGTAAGGCACCAGTTTGTCAGGGCCTCAGTTCCAAATACCATGACCGCGAGTTCCTGAACGTAAATGGATGGCTGCTTCGTGTCGACATGCTTCAA